AAAAAAATCGGCGACGGTACCGTTGCAGGAGACACAGCCAATACTAATAGTAATAGTAATAGTAATAGCAATAGTAATAGTATTAGTATCATGGTATGGTTGGAACTTTAAACTTGTACTAGCCAGCCTATGTTTAATGGTTTACTCGTTTAAAATTGTCGCATTCTTAAATGGTAACTTGTTCTGTTGCTTATGTTAGCTTTTCATCTTAATTAACTACAACTGTACCTGTATTGTGTACCAAATCTAGTACACAAGTTTGATAGTGCGCTGCCATTTAAACATCGCTCGCGACCTCTGGTGGGTGTATTCAACAACCCAAGTGTAGGCTACCAACCTGTTTCAGAAGTGCATTTGTTATATGCTCGTATTTCCATATACTAACTAAGTTACAATAACCTCAAAACCTTATCAGTCTTAGTCTTCAAAGTCCAGCGGACGGATAGAGATAAAGTTGATTAAATAGGCAGATAACAATTTTCTTAGTCTATGATATTTCGTACCAATAATGCAATATTGGCGCATATTTGAATTTTTATTTCGTCATGAAAGGTGAGGGAATTGGAAAAGAAGCGTACGAAAGAGTAAACTTTCTGTATCAGGTAATGACTAATGAGTACTAATGGAGTCACAGGCATACGTTGACATAAATTGCTTTTGGCGTAAGCAATTAGTTGTCATGCATGATAGTCCACTGTTTGTATGAGCGTGTTATTGCCGATACTGTCGCTGTCATTTTAATTTGTCACGAATGCGGCATCATCAGAGCACTGGCAGCAAGAACAAGTCCGCACCTGCAGCTACAGCACACACGCATATATTGACTATATATATAACAACCGTTGTTATATGTAGTCAATAGATGCGTGTGTGCTGTAGCTGCAGGTGCGGACTTGTTCTTGCTGCCAGTGCATCAGAGGTGTGCTCAACAGCGCGAACGCTCGCGTGCGCTCGCCTTCTGAACGACACTGCACGGTTGAGCTAGTCAGACCAGGCTGTGCGACCGATTGTCTATGACCGATTGTCTTCTAACCCTAGCAAGACCGTTTCTTGGAGCTAGTCGAGCGCTCGCAAGCGCGCGCGATCAGGCTCTCTAGGCTGTTCGCGCAGCGCGCGAGTTGTTTTCAAGATGGCGACGGGCAATCTGGTGAATGCGAATCTAATACTTCTGACTTTGGGAAGTGTCGATGGTCGAAAGAGTTTACTTTCTATATACTCGCTGCGATGAAGGAAAGGGCATTCTAATTTCGTCTGCTAATTCGTTTAACAGTACTTGTTCAAAGACGCGATTAAAATTTGCTGAGGAAGCCGCCATCTTGGATAAAGGGAGCGCTCGGTGTCGTTCAAGTGGCGCTGCGTTCGTGCTGCGAGCGTTCGCGCTGTTGACCACGTCTCGGGCACGTGCCGGCAGTGCCAGTTGCAAGTTGCACATCTGTAAAAACTAAAAGAAAATATATCATGTCTTAGTTTCTTAAAAATTAGGAAGATGATTTCATACTGTTAATTGAAGTAACCGCTCTTTGTTGCTTGTGTTGTGTCACTTAAATCCATAACTGAGGACGAAAATGGTTTAAGAATGAATGCTCGTGCATTAACGGCATACTAGGCACATTGATTATGCAATGTTGACGAATGCTAGAGTAACTGGCACCTTGTATAGTTAATAAGTACATAACCTTACATCCAAACGCGTATTAGTTTGTCCAATATCTAGGGTTCGACACTAACGCTAGTCCGTTAGTCCGAGACTAGTAAAAAATAAGAAGGACTAGTAAATACCCCATAGCCGTTAGTCCTGCGGACTAGTTATTTTCCCCGTCCTTCACCGTTCCAATTTACCATCTTCCCATCGATTTTACTATAGTCCCGGCGGCAGCTTCTCTGAACCAAGATCCAAAGAGCTATATATAACTGATTGCCATCAACAAGTTTTCCCTGTTAGATGCACTAGTACAAGGAGATGCTAGCACGCTCTGCACGCTAGACAGTCTGCAGCCGGATATCCGCGCGAAGCGCGCCAACGCCGCCCTGGCGGCATTCTAACACGATTTCGCTGCTCCCATTCCATCACCTTCAACGGGTTTACATATATAAGGCAAGCAGCAAGTTCGCTGAGTTGAGCAGTTCTGCCGATTGGACGACCGATTTCACTACCCATCACTACCCATGTAGCTTGAGATTTGCTT